AAATTTATTGTTCATCATGTATTACATGAAGAGAGCCTAAGGATGTTTTCTTATCCAATAACTAAGCAATTTTGCAGTTCTTTTTAATCTAATTTGTTTTAAAGTTTTTTTTTTTTTTTTGGTTTTTTATAACTGTTGATCAATGACAATTTGGCTGTCATCTGTCTATTCTTATAAAAATCACAACTTGAAAAGACAGCTCCCTTCTTAAAGAAAAGAACAGGGGGTTTTTGTGCTAAACAAATGCTGTGCGTTGTCTCTTTAGTATTCTGCATGTTTAGAATTAAAATGTGCTTTGGGAAACACTTAGCACTTGCAGAACATCTGCAGTTTTGAAGAGATGTTTATGAGGGATAGAGGAAAGTGCAGAATGATACATGCTCTAAGTTTATGAGTTGAGGCATCCATCTGTAACCAGAGAAACTGTAGTCCATGGATATCAGTCTAGTTATGGATGTCAGATGTTTACATATATGGGATGTTGAAATCATGTGCTGTATTTAAGAAAATTACTTCAGCTTTTTTCTTAAGACATGTATGTGTGTGAGAATTCCACTGGCAGTGCATATTGTTTTTATGATAGCATGATACCTACTGTATCATGTATTTTGAGTACAAATTGCAGCCATTCCAATACAGTGAGAAGACTGAAAGATAAAAGTGGGGATAGTTATTTTCTGTGGGCTAGAGGAGTCAAAGTCAGAGACCAGTGCTCTCTGGCATTTTGTAGGAAGCTTTCAGGCAAGGCTCGGCCTGTGCAGGATTTGCTGGGTTGTTGTGTGTGCCTTGAGGGAACAATTCCCCTCCCTAGGAGGGTGAAGTGGGAGATGAGGCTCCCCTGTGCTCCTGAAGGATCAGAGACTTGGCCCTGCTGTCCCAGGGAGATGTTGCTGGTCTGCGCCCAGGGCCTGTCACTTAAAGCCATTGAGTGTTTCTGCCTCAGGTCACATGAGCTGTGTGGGGTTTCTTCAGGGTTGGTGCTTGCTTACCTACTGTGAAAGCTGAAGCCTGCTGTCCAGGAGGGTTTGTGATATGCTGTGGTATTTGTGGAAACAGGTTGGTTGTGCTGAGCTTTAGAATCTGGGAATAGGTTTAGAAAAAAACCTAAATTCATGTATGTACCTTTTTTACTCCCAGCTGCACCTGTGTCTGTCTGTGTACTTTGTTTTTGATGTTGATTCTTCAGAACTGGACTTCACATCTCTCAGCTTGGGAGCTAAAAGTATTTGTTCATACTGTCAAAACTAAATAAATACAAGATGAAACTTACGCTTGAGTTTGTGAGTTTGTGATGAAACACTCATCTGTACCTTTATCCCCTTACCTTCATCTAAATAAACTGTAGGTGCTAATCAAGAAACATGCTGCATAAAAGGACAGGGAATTTACTGGAGGTGTTTACTAGATGTATGCCCCAAACTGTATTTGGAGATGATGGAATACAATCAACTGATACGTTGTATTTTTGGGAATGGGAAAAATAAATTTTATACAAAACCTGCATAAGCTTGTAGTACCTACACAAGCTTGTACTGAAGTGTTGATCCTTTGTTGCCCAGAGAAGCTGTGGATGCCCCTTCCTTGGAGGGTTGAAGGCCAGGTTGGATGCGGCCTTGAGCAATCTGGTCTACTGAAACTTGTCTCTGCCTGGGGAAGAGGTGGGAAGCTTGGAACTGGATGCCCTTGAAGGCCACTTCCAACCCAAACCATTCTGCTATTCTGTGATTTTCATGTAGCTCTTAATTTGGTGTAGATGGAGCTTGCTCCAAGCTTGCCAGGTACAGTATGACCAGTGAAAGCTCCAAAGCAGGGTCAGCCTATATTCTAGCAATTTGTTCAGGTGAGCAGAGCCTTAATCCTTCCAAAAAAACCCCATCTCTACTTTTGGGAGAAGGAGGGAGAAGCATAGAAAAGGAGGTGTCTTGTCTGCAAAACAAAACAAATGATACAATACAGTGCATTTTGAAACAATTATGTTGTTCAGCCTGTGGTATGTTTGCCTTACAACATTTTCAGTTCACACTCCTGTGAGCCTGTTTAATAAACCAAAAGATCAGTAAATTTATGGAGTAATAAAGGTTTTCACGTCATTGTAATACAATCAGTGAAAATATCAGAAGTAAATTCTAATAATATGTTTCAAGGGTTGAACACCCAATTGATTGAAAACATTGGTGATAGTTAAGCACATTAAAATTTCATTTTTAAAGTGTGTTGAAACTTAAAGCAATCTGACTTTTGGCCTCAGCTCTTTGAATAAAAAAGGTATAACTTCTTAATTAAAAGGAGGGGATTCTTCTAAGGCTGTATGAGAAGGTAAGATCTAGTTGCCATTTGTAATGGAGAGATTGTAACAGAATGAAAAATGCTTGGGGCTAAGCCTTAGCAGGATATGCAAAATAAAAATTCTTTTGAGGCCATTCTAGGAAGTACAGTTGGATACAATGTTTCTGTAGCTGAGATCCATGGTTTCTTCTCTTTTTTTTTTTTCCCTCCAAAAGCAGTTCCATTATTAAAAACAAACAAACAAACAAAACGAAGAAAAAAACGAAGCTCAACAAAAATCTCCCAGTGAGCCCTGAAGAGTTACATTTCTTCATGGCTCTTTTTGTGCAGATGTTTCATGTGGTGCTCTTCCCACTGGGTGGTGCCATATTCCCTGTGTATAGCCAGCGGCTGCCTAGCGTCCTGCAATTACTTGCACGTTTCATTAGTATTTAGTGTAATCTGTTCTGCTTTTGAAAAGAATCCCAAATGTTACTTATTTTCCCAATCCCAGTTCTGAAGTAGGTGGTGACTAGAAATGGACATAAAGCACTAGCTATGTGGTAGTTGAATAATTGTGCATCATAGGCATTTTATTCCAGCAAGGCTGTTGCTTTCTGGACAGTGCTGGATACCTTAGCACCTTTCAGATGTGACAAAACTTAACGAGTGGATAACTTTGAATTCTTCAACCCAGTACTTCCATAAGGAATGGAGGAAAACTTTGGTTACAAAGTGCGGTAGCTCCTTGTGTTTTGTTTTTCAACCCCCCCAAGACTTATACATTGCATGCATTTTTGTATAGTTAAATGGCATCAGGATTCTCATTACTTTCTGTCTGCTTATCTGCATTAACCAGCTTATACTGAGCAGACAACCAGACATCAGTAAAACAACGCAGAGTGGACTGTGTGAAACTGCAAAATTACAAGAATAAAAAAAAATACATCTACTTGCAAATACATATTCTCTGGGTTTGGCAGGCATGTATATTTTCCTACCCACAGAGATAATCACGGTCCAGTTCTGATTTCTGTGAGAGTCTAATTAAAGCCTTTGTGGTTATAACAGTAAATTTACAATAAATGCATTATTTATGCAAATCCTGCATTTACCATTTTTCCTGTCCCTCACTTCCAAGGGGTGGTAGCATGCAGTAGGGCTCAGCAATTTATTTTGAATGGCAAGAAACACTGAGAAGTGATAAGTAACTGGGATGATACTTTGTTTGAAGTATTGCTGTGGTTGCTATTTTGATGCAGCTCATTTCCTGCCTATGCTTCTGGTATGACAGAAAGTAGCAATCAGTAGTAGACAGTACAGTAAACAGTGTCAAAGCAAATGGGAAGATGGTATTAGATTATACATTTTGTTGCTATCAGCCATTATTCTCTCATCTGTATTTCCTGTAGTGCTATTTCTACCATCTGTCAGAAAAGAAGCTGTCTTATACATGAGAAAGATTTGATTTTAGTTGCTTTTCTCTGATTTCATCATTAAGTCAAGAATTTGGTTAAAATCTCTTAGTACAATAAAGTTCCCACTGAAAAACACCTGGGCCTGAGACGAACTACAGAGAGAAATAAAACATGTTTTTGAAAGTTGCCCTTAAAAATTCTGATTTTCTTATATCTGATGAAAAAAAGAAAAAGAAAGAAAAGCCTTGGTGATGAACAGCATTAAGTATTGAGAATGGCTTTCTTGTAAACCTTTATTTTAAAATCAGGCATAATTTCAAAATGTAATTCCATCAAATAATTTTCTTAGGATATATAAATAGACTACAAAGTCTTAAATTCAGCCTGGATTTTAATAGAATTAGAACTTGTTTCCATGGTTTTATGTAGCAGCTACCAAAAAGGAAGTTGAAAAGTCTGCTTTAAATCTGGTAGAATATAAACATGTGGTGTATGATGCACATGGTTTTCTTCTTTTTGGGTATCTCTTCTTGGCTTACAAATGCAAGGAAACATTTCTGAAAATCAGACCAGTTAAGGAGTTACTTAACTAGGTGTGGCAAATTAACAATTTTGTGTTACATTAATACTAGGTATTTAAGTAATACAATAAATTCATCTGCCACTTACAGAATCTAAGGGGAAGATGGTTTGCTGACAGCAGAAAAAAATAGTACTAAAAATCAAAGTATGCTTTTCTTAGACATACGGGTAAGGCTTGATACATGGCATACAGAATTGGAGATATTTGTCAGAGCTGTTAATACAAAGGGCTGCTGCTGAGGGCTTTGCTGAGATTGAGGAAGGTGGGACTCCAGAGCCTGTGGCAGACTGCAACTCTCAAAAACTTGACCTCGCTCAGTTTCAGTGAGGGGAACCCGCCCCCACCTCTGGTTTTTAACAATCAATAGCAATTCAGTCTTGGCAAGATTGAGACAGATCCTATTTCAAAACATCAGAGATTGAATTTTGTTCACAGGCAGCAGGGAGACTTTTGTGACAGAATCTGGTGTGAAGGGTAAGTAGATTTGAATATTGTGAATGCACTGGAGGAAGTTCAGTTTGAGTGATGTGTGATAACAAGACTGTACAGTAGCACTTTCAGATAACTGAAAATTGTATCCAAAGTAGAACTTGAGATTTTCTTCATTGTAATTTTGGTATAAAAGGTAAAGAAGCTAGCAAAAACTTATTCTTTTAAATGCTTTATTTTTGAGATTTTAAAAATTTTTTTTCTTTATTTCCTCTTCTACTACTATTTTTTTTTTATACAAGTCTTTTATTCCTTGACTCTTCCCTGTTTATGTGCCCCCAGAGTGCTTATAATATTGAATTCTTCCAGGGGAATTTCTAAGCATGAACTTAAGATACTCATTTACCTTGTTAAAGGACCTCATTTGATACAAATGGAATTACTTAAAATATTTCAACATAGCTAAAATTTTGAATTGACACTCAAAGTGTGCTAGTTCATGCAAAACTTATGACAAAGATTATAGGAGTTAGTCTGTCCTCTGACTGATTTGTGAGTAGGTGATCTCAAAATTGTCTGCTTGTGGTTTGGGTTGGTTAGTTAGTTAATGTGTTTCTCTAAGGTTATCTAAGTAGCCCTGTGGTTTTTAAAGAGATAGCAGTGAACTGAGAAACACCCTCACCTTACTGGGGTTTGGAGGTTTGGAAGTTGCATATCTGTGTTTTAGGGTCAGGCTAAGGCAGGGATGAGATACCCAGCACCTTTATGGCTGCAGTTGTGCCCTGTAGTTCCTGCACACCTTCCCTTACATAACACAGAATAGAAAAAAATTAAACTTGGAGCAAGGTGTGAAACAAGCTGGTAACTGGGAGAGCAGTGGCTGAGCAGAGATTTGCAGCAAAGAGCTCTGCAGAGACAGTGGGAGAGGAAATTTTTTTTTTTTTCCATTTATTGATGTGTCTTTTGTTCACCACTCTTAATGGTGATAAGAAATTTCGTTGACCCATATTTTGTTTACCTTTTAAGATCAAGCTGGTAATTTCTCCGCTCTGTGCAATCTGTGTGCAGTCCTTTTCTGTGTCAAGATGAGTCTGTGCTGTTGGCAGACTGTTGAATTATACTTCTTTCACGCCTGCAGTACAGCTGTAATAAAATAGTAACTGCAGGCTTTTGTGTTCCATGGTTGTGCCTCATTAGATTGAATTTCAGAACATCCTCTTCTAGTCTCTGCTTACCTTTTTACAGTCCTAGATCTTTGCACATCTTGTATCACTTCCTATGTCTGCATCTGGTTTTCACAGAATCACAGAATTAATCAGGTTGCAAGGGACCACTGTGGGTCATCTAGCCCAACTTCCCTGCCCTAGGAAGATCAAAACTAAAGTTTTCCTTTGCTCCATTCTGGTCGCCTCCTTTTACCAGAGCCATTTATCAGTTAAATGGAGATCTTCGGTCTTATTTTTTTGTTTAGTTATTTGTACAGACTTCTTATGCTCCTTTGATCATCCTTCATATGGATTAAACAAGGAGCCATAAACTGCAGTCCTGCAGATTTTGAAAGAGCCCTCTGTGAGGCTTGGACTAGAAGTGGGGCTACTTGGTTGCTTTGCTCTCTGGCAGTTCCCTATGTCAGTGGATTCTGCACAAAACCATCTGCAGCACAGATCAACCACTGCAAAAGCAATGAAAAACTTTATCATTTAATGCCAAGAAACTTATTTTAATCTTTCTCTTTCAGAGAAACACTTTTGCTGTGAAGACTCAAAGATGGGTTTTAAATTAAAAAAAAAAATGAACCTTATTAAAGGAAATAAAATGCTATCCTAGAAGTTAAACTGGCACCTGTATATTCTAATAAACTCTTCCAAAATGCCTTTCATCTTTAATTAGGAAAGCCAACATGATGAATTAATGGGAAGATCAGTACCATTCAAATATTTAACTTACCTCTTTTTATGGTTGAATTTTGCATATTTTCAGATGATTGTGTATTTGCTTCCCAATGATAAATAAGTAAACCTGTGTTTTTCCACTTGGAATACGAAGATGAAGAAAAATACTGATATAGAAACAAATTCAGCTGTAAAACCATGTCTTTGCTTTTGTGTGAGCCCTTTCTCAAAGGACATTTGTGTTTTTTTTTCCTTTTTTTCAAAGATGAACAGAACATTTGATGTTCTGGGCTTTACTATTGTCTCTAGAAACAAAAAAGTTGAAATAGTATAAAAATTGCATTGTCGTCTTATGGCATCCAAAATATGGTGGATTTCCTGAGACAGATTGTGCTAGCAGAAACATGATGTGGACTGAGAAAATAATTTTTTCTCATTTTGAAACTTCCTTGTTAAATGCATATTGTGAAGCAAACTCTGGTGAGAAGCACTTGTGTAATCGTGGATATTGCCTGGGTAGTGAAACCTGATCTTTTTTGGTAATTGCAGATTTCCATAATTCCTTCAAGAAGTTCTTCTGAAGACAGTCCACTTTGATCATACTGTTCCCCAAATTAGTATTTATTGAAGATGGCAGCACACTTTCCTTCCTGCATGAAGCTATATCATGTGTGAATATATATGTTGAAATGTATATGTATATGTTGAAAATATGTTGATGTACATTCTGTTGCACAGATGTCTTATTTCAGTAGGAAAGTTGTTTAATTCATAGATCAGTATCTAACATAAGGAGTAGTAAAGTAGTAGGCAATTCTCATAAAATATGATATGAATGCAAGCTGCTACTGTTTACCTGATTATTGAAGGCAAATCAGAACCATACCTTTTGAGATTCAGGTCTGACTGTAGGCCACAGCAGGAAGGCTGAGGCTCAGTGGTGCACAAAAATCAACAGCAATAAATATTTATTACAGAAGAAAGTGTTTCAGAATGAGATTTGACCAAACCTGTTTGAGGGAACAAATAAAATAAACATCTCATGGACACTTACTCTTGGCCCCATATCCATATGTGGTTTCAGGCTATTTAGGGGAATTAATGATGGTGAAGGTGGTAAGGTTACAAGGCAAGGAGGTTGCAGCACTTAAAAAGGCAGAGAGGAGGAAGGTCGTGGAGAAGGAAGGAAGGGAAAAAGGGACAAGAATTAAAGCTGAAAAAGGAGAAGGATGAGGAACTGTAAACCTGGCAGGTGGCAGAAGTGCATTCACCTCCACCAGCAGCAATTGGAAATGGGGCATTAGGAAGCACATGGTGGTACCTGTGTACCAGGAAACACAGGGCTGGGAGTAGCAAAACTGCCAGAGATCCATGGTTCAAAACTGGCAGGGCGCAGTGAGGGCTGGCGGCTCCCTGGGACTGCAGGGACACCCCATGGGACTGGCTGTCAGGAGCAGGCAGCCTGGGGCACAAGGGCAGCCCCAGCCCCGAGCATCAGGCACCTCCCTGGGGATGGGCTGAGGCTGAGGCTGGGGCAGGACATGGGCCCGTGGGTGTGGGGGTCAGGATCAGACACAGCCTCGAGATGGCAGGACGTGGCCACTGTGATGTGCATGGCTACAAACAGGTGTTGGAGAGTAGAATGGGGAAGGCAAGGTGGGCTCTTTGTGGCTGCATGCATGAAGTCATTAATTAAATATCATAAGCATCCATATATTTTGTCACACTGTTGTATTTGTTGATGTATGCTGTTGTCTTCTTGTATTGGTTAAAAGCGGTAAGAACATGTAAGCAATTATAAATGTGAGATAAAAATATAGTGGTGAAATTTGTAGCTTCTGAAACTTTACTGATCTTGCTTACCTTATTTATAATCAAAATAATCAAAAACTATGTGATGCATAACTGCTCAGCAATGTGAAAGAGAAAATAGTTTTCCGCCTCATATTTTATTTTTCATTTTGGTAAATAATAATATGTCACAATTATGATAAAATGGCCTGCATGTCATCTGGAAATAAGGAGATGGTTTGAGCTTTCCTCTTAAATGTTTTTCTTACTCTCTAATCATTGCATTAATACATCTCCCAAAATGCTCTTGCTCTAGCAAATTTCCCTAACTGTAGTGATTGAAAACTGGTCATGCATTTAGGTGCAATGGGAAATTGAAGATATTCCTTTGGGCATAATTTTTCTCAGAAATATTTTAACATCATTAATAATGTATAAGTGTAACAGGCTTAAGGAAGCCATAGACTAGGTCACTTCTGATCTGCACGATAATTATTCCTACATGGCAATTAGTATTACAATAAGTATGTAAAGATGGTGCTGGGGGGAGAATGTACATGTACTGTATTTTTGGAGGCTAGATAACCTTTTGATTGATGAAGTGGCCCATTTCAATTCAAGTTGCTTACTCTGGTAAGCAACTAGGATTAAAAACATGTTTTCTGACTAAAGTTCACACTATTGCTGTAGGAGAAGAAGAAGAGGTAATAAATACTGGTGGAATATAAGAAAAAGAATCTTGCTTTAAACTAGGCCGTTTAAGGTAGTTGGGGTCATTCACCATTGCAATTGTGACTCTGTGGGTCACTTTGGGCAGCTTCTGCTGGGTATGAACAGACTCTCAAAGTGAGACATGCATTGGAAGACAACAAAGTGAGTGTCTATTGGTCCACAAACATAAAAGACAGAGAAGGTTTAATGAACTCCTTGGCTAGATATCCAAATGTGTCTGGTCTGCAACAAGAATCTGATGAGTCTTTGCTGTACAGGCAGCTGTGAATGAGGTGGAAGAGGAAATCTTTCCCCCTTTAAACAAGTCTGCCTTATTTCTACATTGCTGCCACCTTCTTTGGGCTTTGATGCCTTTCCACCTTGATGTTTTTCCTCTTGAATCCTTAAGCTGGTAGCAAATCCTGTGTCACCAGTACTATCTTTTTTGGTGGTTTTACCTTTCTGAGCATGCATGACTGTCATCTGAACTTTCTCTGAGGTCTTTCCCATATCTTGGCAACTTTCTTAGAAGTCAGCCTGAACCAAGGTCAGGCTGCCATGGCATGTCTGAGACACAGCAAGACTGATACCCTTGGGAGAGGTCACTGAGCAAGAATATTAAACACTGAGGTCACATCAAATGAGGAACTTAAATGAAATTAATTATTCTTACATTGTAAGTGATTTAGGAGTTTTTAATATTGGGGGGAGGGGGTTTAAAGTAGCCAATAAATTAAAATATATTTTTAAAATAACCTACAAAATTTTATTTTAATGCTGAATATTTGCTTTGTGTCTGTGCTTCTGTTGCCACTACTTCAGTTGCTAGTAATGCAGTTTGAAGAAGCAGGAAACACTGCTTCTGGCCTTGAATGCTCAGTTCAAGTCTCCCTACAGTTTTTGGTTTATTTTAAGATTATCCAGACACACAGTCTGCAACTGTCCTGTCTTCTGTTCTAGGTAGTGGGCCCCATCATGATCGAAGTTGTGTTTTCAACCAGAGCAACATAGTAGATGGAGTTTACTGCCTCCCAATAGCACACTGGATTGAAGTCTCTGGACATACTGATGAGATGAAACACACAACCGATTTCTATTTCAATATTGCAGGACATCAAGCTATCCATTATTCCAGGTAAAAGAATTGTGCAGAGCTTGGCTGGTGTCAAATGTTACAAACAGAAAATCTGAACTGGCACATCTGAAAACTGCATTTGGTTTGTATGTGTGTAAGAGTAAACTTTAACAAAGATTCAGCACCTCTTTTCAATTAAATGTCAGTTTAGCAGATCCTAGGTTCAAGGATACCTGTACCCTGTATGTTTCTGTTACATTGCATCACATCTGAAAAAGTTTTGTGCCAATTTTAGGCTAGTCATTTTCAAATGCTTGTCTATATACATGTGTAAAATTGCATGTATCTTATGTGTTTGGTTAGGGATATTTTTAGTGAAGAAGTTGTCCTGAGAAACAAAAATTATGTAATCCAGCACTGGAGTTTACTGGTGACATGTTGTCACTCTTGTGTGGCAGCCATTGCAATTAATGACAGCAACTTTTGATGACTTCTGCTTCTGGACATTTATTTTAATAATATATTAAAACTTAGACAAGCCTTAAAATGTTTGTATTCCATAGTGTTCACTTGAGTCCACTGTCCCACTGGTGAAGATCCTGGCTTGAATAAGGAGACAGTAAAGGTGGAGGAGGGCACCCAGCCTTCAGGGTGCAGATGAAGCACAGGCTGTATTTGGAGCAACAGGCTGAGCACTGGAGGTTAGCAAAGTGCACTGAGGAATTTGGGACCCTATGTAGCTTTTCCCCTATCTCCAGCCAATTGATACAGCAGGAAGTTTTGATAATAATTGTGGGAATGCTGGCAGTCCTGATATGCCACATGCATTGCAGAACAGTTAGTTATCCCAAAGGGATATGTATTTTTTTTTAAAAAACTCAAACCACCTTGTACTTTCATTAGGCCCTAGCATTGTTTTGTGTGAATTTCTCCAGACCACTTTATCACCTACACCAACCTCACCATGGTGTCTCCTCTTTGTGCTCTTTGTCTCCACCCTCTCTCAGGGTAGGAAGAAGAATTGTCTTTTCCTCATTAGACTTGCAGTGTGAGAGGGAAAGATTTCTTCCCCTTGGTATCTTTTGGAATAGCAGTGATTCATAAACACTGTCAGGCACATGTAGGTGTTTGTGGGACCTTTTTCCTGAGACCCCCTCAAGTTATATAGTATGCCTGATAGACTAAAGTGTTATGTGGATCTTAAACATCTGTTTCCAATGTCCTATCAGAGTAAAGATCTTGTTTATTCCAAAGCAGAGATTTGTCAATCCCAAGTAATCTTTGCTTGGCAGAAACATTTCTTGAGAAAGAAGAACAGCTGTCAGAAAGTGAATATCTAAGTACCAAAGGCTAACTTATCTTCCTTTCCAGAGGCAGCAGTGATCCATTTAATGCTGCCTTATCTGCATGACTATGTGTTTCAAAGATTAGGTAAAAAGCTGCAGATTCTGCTAGAGGATATCTGAAGAAAATTTTCTGGGCTGTTAGTCTTTCGCAGATGAAGGTCTTCTCCTTCATTCCCTTCTCTCACACCTGTACCTTCATTGAAAGGCAACCTTATATGTACATCTTAATAACTCTTATCTCATTTCTTTGAGCTATATTAAGCAACCATACTCTGTAACAGTCCTGTCACATAATTATTTCTAATACTTTGAAGATATGCAGCCTTAAATGTTTTTTTAATTACTAACAGTTGGGGGCAGATTCACCATTCTGCTGGTAATAACAAAGCAGCCCAAAAATAAAAATCTATTTTAGATTTTTTTGTTGTTGTTGGCAGAGCAGCTGAAGTGAGTTGATGAAAATGCCTTTATTTTGCAATGGATTTATTAATTCAGAAGAGTACTATGAAGATTAATACAATTTTTTAAAATACCCATATACCCCCCTCATTCTCCCCAAAGCAAAACCAAACTCAAACAGAAGCAAAGAGTCAATCCTTCTGACTTTTCTGACTCTGATCAGAGTATGATCACTTCATGGTTTTCCAGCTAAGATTACCTTTCTCCATGCTGTACTAAAGGCAGCAGTGCTGCAAGGACCATTATGACCACAAATTCTGAGTCCTCTCACCTCTTGTATGATCTTTACAGTGGTGGAGGCTGGAAAGAAGTGATTTATCAATGAAAACTTTTGATGTGAGCCCATCCTCTATGTTGCTCCACTTAACAGGGCTGCCATGTGTGAATTAATGAGAAAAGAAGGTTTTCCTCTGTCAAAGGAGGTTCCCACATGAGCCCTGGGACTGATTTTATTTATCCTCTGTTGAATCACAATTAGAAACAGTTGCTCTGAGCTTTGTTGCCATCTTGCTTCTTCATAAAACATGAGCTTCTGCTTTAACTGGGCTGCAGCAGGATGAGAAGAGCCTGCCTCTGGCTGGAGCCAAAACCAATTTTGCACTATGCCGAGGCTGACTACAGCGCTCTGAGAAATCAGATTTTTCTTATTTGATGTAGATGCATCTCTCATAATTTAGTGAACTTACATTTAAACTTATATTTAGAGAACTCATTTTGTGTTGGTCATTCAAGTAGGAGAATATATAATGTGGTTTTTAAGCACAGCAGGAGTTGAACTAATTTCTTGTAAATGTGAAATGGAGATTTTCCGCAGCTAGGAGTTATGACTGATACCTTTATGGCATTATTATTCACTTGGTTTGGAGATGTAATGACACCTTTAACCAAAATCTGATTCAGGAAAAAAACCAAAAAAAACAAAAAAATCAGTTTCTCTTTTGTGTTAGATACTACTGCAATAAGATGGCTTCAAATTACAGGAGAGTTCACTTAGGATGAAGTAATTTTCCAAAGTAAATTAGAATTATTGTAATCTTTTCTGAGAGAAGATGACTAGAAAATTTGTGAATCTGGGCCATATTATCTCTGTTTCAGTTCCACCTGTGAAAGGCAGAAGTTCCTAATTTGTAGATGTAGTATACCTTATTATTTGTATAAAAACATCTGCATTTCTCAGAAGAAAGGCATTACATAAGAGCAAGAGAGGGAATGACACCTGAAATTACAAAATCCTTAAATAATATATTGAAGACAATGATGCTTGATGGCAGAATTAGGTGCTATGGAAATGAATATCTCTGATAGGAAAAGACATCTAGTTAGTTTCCTATTTCCAGACTAATTTTAGGTGTGTGCTTTTTGTGAGTCATACTTCTTAAATCTGACAAAGAAAAATAATTTTTACATGCTTTGCATGTAAAATACAGGTAAACTGGAATGTGTAAGTGAATTCCTCAGACAACAACCTCTGTAACTGTGGTATTGTATGGCTGTTAAACACTTTGGCAGAAAATACACAATTAGCAATCCACAGTCAGGGGAGTCACTACATGACAGTAGCCATGGGTCCTGACAACATTTTTTTGATGTACGGGTTTCTTTAGTACCATTTTTGCATTTCAAATATATACACATACATATATGCTGTTAAATACTAATATTTCATGTTTATGGAGTGATTGGGAATTTGACAAATATGTTGCTATCATCAGTGGCTTTTTTCCCTAAGACAAAATTAAGGTAATGATAAAATAAAATTTGCTCTCATGCTTGGAAATATTATTTTTGTTTCTCAATGGTTGCAAATGAAATACAATTTATGATGTAGTATGTACAAATGCTTTGTGGCTTGTAGGTGAGACAGTTTCCTACAACACTGCCAGTAATACAGGTTATAACCTAAGTTAGGTGTTGAATGGGAATGATCAGGAGAGTCACATAAGATGTGTATCCCTGCTTCATTGTAAATGTTAATGTAGATAGGTGAGTGAATGAAGAATGATCCAGGGCAAAATAGAAATGCCTCTTTTTACCTTTTGGAGGCACTAGAGCAGTATTTTGCTGATGGAGCACAGAATTTCTTTCTATGGGAAAAATAAGCATTTACTTGATTGATATGCATCTTTAATTAGGTGGTAAACAAGAACTTGGTTGAGTATATTTGGTTCAGTATGAAATTAGAATTGTCTTTGAAAAAGATACAAGAAAGAGCACTTTTTTTTTTTTTAGTCTTTAATTTCTCTTTTTACTGGTTGTAACTCATTCACAAAATAAAATGCCTTTCTGTTTTAAATATAATTCTTAGCTATTTTTTATTACTGAATTGTAAAAAAGGCTTTAAAGAGTAAGCTGTCACAAAAACCCCCTAGAGTGCAGTGACATGTGCTACCATAATAGAAAGCTGCACTGATATTTTATGCCTACATTATGAATTAAGAGAAGAGGTGATGATGTCTACAGAGATTACCATAATTAACATTAAAGGCTGAGAGCTAACTGTCCCCTGTGCCTAAAGAATACTTGTGATATTAGAGAAAAGAATAAGAAATAATGAACTCTGGAACAGAATTCATTGATTGTATTCTAGTAAAATAGTCCTGATCAAAAGGACTTAACATCAATAAGAGTTCATCCTTTGATTTCAGTACTTGGGGTTCTAACTGTGAAGTTATCTGCTCATTTTATACATTAAGTAATGAAAATATTCAAAGGCACATTTTTTATATGTTTATCCCATAAACTAGGATATCTGACTTCTCCTTTGAATTGTTTTGTTGTACTGAGCTATAGTCTGAAACTAATATGAATTGGAACCATTGTTTACTTACCAATGGGAATCACCTTTTATAGAATGGTTCAAAGGTTAATTTTATCATTTGTCCTTTGCGTGTCTTCATTTTTTTCTACATCACCCCCAGCTGGAGCTGGGAAATGCTTTTACTAGCCTCTGTTGTGAAGAAAATGGATTTCAAATCAGCATAAGAAGTGACATTTATGCAATTTTTTATTTGAGTGCTTGAAAGTGAGGAGGGAGTGTGAGGCAACAGGACCAGAAGTGAGAAGACAAATGATGAGGCTAGAATTTGATTTAGTTTTAAGATTTTAATCCTTATTTGTTTTCATGTATGTAATTTGGGTGTTCTCTGTGTTGGCTAACAAATGCATTTTTCTTCCTCATTTGTTGTCCATCCAAACAAAAAGCTTCTCCTTTCCTGAACTCCCCACACTGTGCCCTTCATAATAATGGCTAAAACC